ATCAATATTGTCTTGTATAAATACATAAGTTCAGTTGTTCAATAGAGAAATCTAGATAAGTTTTGTCTTCACCTCAACTACTAATAACATTATATGCTTGAAAATGTATTGTCAACCTGCTTTGAGATGCGCTCCAACGAAGGTTGATATTTTTCACGTTTTGTCGACTGATGGCATGGTCAGTGTTAGAGGCCTCCTCAAATAGACTAACCAATGAATTCAGACATGATTCATAAACATGAAATATGTTCTCTTCATTCAGATCAAGGAAATCAATTTTATAGACTAAGCTTTTGCACAATAGACCATTGACATCAATGACCAATTTTTAATAAAAAAAATAACAAACATAATATATGAATTATTTGGATTGAAAAATCTTCTAGTTTTTCTTTAAATATTAATTTGAATTTTTAATTTCGCATCATTATTTATTCAGTGATTATTGACATAATAAAGTCAAATTAAATTTTTGGTTCAATATAAAATATAATTTAATTATTTAATTTCGAAAAATATGAATTAAACATTATATAATGATATAATAATCAATCAAACTAATCAATATTAATATGACATAAGTCATGTGTTTTTCTTTAGGGATAAATACAAATTCATAAATTNTTCAAAAATATTATAATATTTTTCTGAAATATTAATTAATATTATTACAAACAGGATACAGATGCAAAGATGATTATGCATACAAAATAATCATGATTCAAAGTACAATAATGTAATCATGATTGATTAGTACATAGTTTAATAATCATCATACATACAATAAAATAAACTCCTCTATATGTTTGGTTAATTCCATAAACAATATAGAAACATTAACTGGATCTGTGAATTGATAAAAAAAAAAAAAAATAATATATATTATGTCACCAAATTAATTTCGGTACTTGCGACAGATGATTATGCTTGTAAAAATCATTACCTTCTAATTAATTCATTTTGATTTTTAAAGACTCGTTTTGATAACGTGTTATAAAATAGAGAAAAAAGAGAATAAAATAAAGAGAAATCAATAAACTCGTGTATTTTGTTGAGAATCAAACCTACATATTTATCGAGATTGATTATAGATGCAATTGATAATAATTTATAAGGTAGTAGGAGTACGAGTATAATAGTCATTCACTAATAAACTTACCATTACAGTATACTCTATATTATCATTCACTAATCAACCCTCATTTCTATTTATTTATTACAAAATTTTAGGACCCGTTTGATTCTCATTATTGTAGAATGAGAATGAAAAATATAGTCATTATTGGGTCCCACACAAGAGATAGAAATTCAAAATTGATGGTTTGATGTGATGAATAACGATCATATTTTTTATTTTTATGGACGAAGAATGAGAAACAAACGGGGGTTAATTGGACAAATTTGTTTCAGACTCAAATCTTTCGAGAAGAAAAAGACACAATAACTCGGTCGAATTGGAATAGTCAAAACGGCCATCTTTGACCGACACGGTAAAGTGAGTGGCTCAGATTCTGACATTGACGAAAGGAACTTTACTGGGGGAGTTCCCATTGTGAGAGTTCTCTTCGGAAAATTCCCATTTTGACTTTTAATGTGAACAATATTTTATGAATAAATTTATATGTACATAATTATTATATATAATGAGTTATATAGGTTCATATGGAAGAAATTCGACCGTGGGTGTGAAGTGTGAAAAAGTAAAAAATTGTAGATTACCGATGGATGCGCACCACATGTCAATTATGTAATGTATTATGTAAATGATTATATACTTGTAGCATGATCCTTATTTTATTAGTCAATTAGTCACGGTCTCTTCATTGATCATCTCAAATTAATAATCACATAAGTTAATTTATTGTTGTAAAAAGATTTTAAAATTTATCACGTACGTAGGCTGCTTTGATAAAATAATATTATACGTAAATTCAAAATTTTTCTATACTATTTTAAAATATATTTTTTTTCAAAACCTCATTAAAATGGAGCCTGTACTAAAATTGATTATAAAGTCAATTTAAAATTATTGAGAGTGACTCTGTTTGTTATCTAAATAATTTTAAGCCCTCATTGAGCCCCATCAGTTTAGAATAAATTTTGTCAAAAAAAAAATGATTTTTTGGAAAATGTGTTGTTAAAAATTAGTGAAAATTTTGAGTTTACGTACAAAATTATTTATTTGAAGAATGTGTGTTTAAAAATGAACTTAAAAAAAAAAAAGTTTTAAAGTGTGAGAGTCCTATAATACCAGTAGGAATTCATGTTACGAGCTTTGTGCGAGATTAGATTCCGTTTGGCTTGGCTTTTGAAAAGTTGGAAGGAATTTTTAAGAATCAAATAGTAATTTTACCATTTTGTCCAACTCCATTAATAATGGAACTAAAATTCAGCAATGGCTGAATTTCAACTTCCTTTTTCAAAGCCTTCTAGATTTAGCAGGGGGAGAAGAAGATAAGTGACAACACTGGACCCACATTGCATGCAAGTCAAGGTTTTAAGAAAAAAATAGTTTGACTTTTAGCCTTTTGCATATCTTTCTTTGAATGCTCCAATGTTACCTACTGAACTTTAGTTAAAGTAGTTTGATTTTGAACTTTATTACTTATTTAATATAATTCATTAGTTAAAGTAGTTCGATTTAGCTTTATAATTAGGTTTTTGACAAGTAAAAATTTTAGTTAGTTCAAAATGGGTCAACAAATTGAAAGAAATTAGCTTATAATTTGTCATACTTGTTATTGACAAGTATCCGTCAATACATTCATTTGTAGACCATGCAAATTCAAGACCATAGAGATGGCAAAAGTGTTGAGCCTAGCCGGCGATCGGCCTTGCGATTTGGCACAACTTGCATCAGCAGAATGTAACTTTCTTTTTTATTGCTTTGAAAAAAAATTCGACTTTCCATTAAAGAGTAAAGCTTTTTAGAACTAGTAGTGTTTAACAAATGACATGTCTAATTAAGTGGATCTTATATCATTACATTTAATTGAATATATTATTTACTGTTCAATATGCTACCATATAAACTGATGTTAAATAACATTATTTGAAAACTTTACCTTTTTAATCTAAAGGAGTGGGTTGAGGGGCCAACTTGACTTGACCCATACGAGTCGAGTTCATGGACCGAGTTCAAGCTCAATTTTTGGTTAACAAGCCGACTCGCAACTCAACTTCTTGACAAACAAGTCGAGTCCGGCTCAGCCCAGCTCAGCCCATTGTCATGCCTACTAGCCGACATGTTACCAAATGCATAATGCATTGATATTTTTCGATTAGGTAGGGTCTACAAAAATCTTATCAGTATTTATCAATCAATTGTTGACGGAGAACATAATCTATTATTAATTTAATTTAATCTTATTTTATTATTGTTAATAAGGTTTGACAAATTATGATTACGTCATCGTTTGACAATTATGATTTTCAAAATTTTTTCCACATCCTCATTTTCAACTACGCATTCATACAATAAAATTTCTGCACGTAAACTCAAACTTTTTTTCTATTTTTTAACTACACATTTTCTGAAAAATCACTATTCAATTTTTTTTCCAAAAGTACAGTTGTCAAACGGATGTGATTTGGTATTAACTCTACCCATACTTTCCAACTACCTTTTTGACAAGAAGAAAAGAGATCAAAGAAAACTCAAAAGCGCGTTTTTCTTTAATGAAAACTTCCAAGTAATTTTGACATCGTGAGTTCCTCCTCTTTTCTAGGAATAGGTCCATCCATAGATGCCTAAAAAAAAAAAGAAAAAAAATCGTATGCTCCAAAATATCACTTCCACTGTGGTCATTAAAAGAAAAATAGAAAATAATAAAAATAACTTTGAATAAGTTTTTCTATCAATAAATTTAGAGTAGACAATAAAGAGAAGGATGCAAAATTAATGACTTTTAACTAATGGTATATTATAGCCAAGTCTTCTCTCTTTTCTCCTAGTGCTTTCATTAATAAATTAATTGATTTATATATGAATTTATAAATTAATAAGACCGATATTGCTCATCATCATCTAGCTATTGCATTTATTTTTCTTGTTGCTGGTCATATGTATCGAAAGAATTTTGGGATTGGACATAGTATCGAAGATCTTTTAGATGCACATATTCCTCCGGAGGGACTATTGGGACGAGGGCATTGGTTATTACAGCTCGTGGCCATCATTCGCATTAACACATCACATCTTAGTGTCGTCCAGGTTACAATTCGGGGTAGACTTTGCTTGTTACCGATCCGAAGTTGGTGTCTAAAATGGTTGCCAAGTTGAAACTTCTTTTTTTCAAAAAGTAGATGAAAAAGTGGACGGATATTGAATTGTTCTTAGCTTGGCGTGCTAACCCGGTCCTTTAAGGGATCCCTAAATCTTTAAGTTAAGTCCCAAAATGGATACGGACCCCTCTCCCCTTGAGAATTGCATCAGCGTTCTCACTTTGCCAACTTTGTTGAGGTCTATTGTCTTAAACTCGTCATTTGATCTATCTTTTCGTTCTTTTTTGACATCTCGACACATCATTTATTCTTAGTAAATGAGATGGCGCTAAGAATATGTAATGTTTCAAAGATCACAAAATTTATCAGTGTTTTCCCATTTGCTAAGAAAATAATCTTCCGATAGGTCAAAAATGTATCATAAATTAACCAGCAAAGAATTAATTAGATTAACTAGATGAAAAATAAATAAAAAGAAAAGTACAAGCGCCGGTCAGCGCAAGTAGTCTACCAACATATTCATCAGTTTTGGTCATCCTTTCATATACCAAATCCCTTCTTTTTCTTAACTTTGCATGAAAATCCCTTCACTTATCGTCTATTCATACTTCTATATATATATAACAAACTACCATTAGCCCCTCTCTCTTGTGGGGCGACTCGTATGGAAGCAGGAAAATACACACCACCACAAAAAACATACTAAACTGTTTCTGTGTGTGTGACAGAGAAAGAGAGAGAGAGAGAGAGCATAGAGAGAGATCATGGCTGAGAGCATGATTGAGGTGGTTGAATATGGTGGTGCAACGCCACAAATGACAGCCACAGATTCTGCCTCACCGGTGGCTTCGGCCCCTCCCCTGCCAAATCAGTACAACTCACCATCTCTCTCGAGGAAGCCACTGCTTTCAATACAGCCTAATAATCCCAACAAGAGTAGCAATACTCCAAAAACTTCTCGAACTCCTAATTTTATTACACCATTGGGTAGCCCTATTCGGAGGGCAATCAAACTCACTAGGCTTGATCCTCAAGATGCTTGGCTTCCTATTACTGAATCAAGAAATGGGAATTCATTTTACGCTGCTTTTCATACTCTTTGTGCTGGTATTGGAATACAAGCACTTGTGCTTCCTGTTGCCTTCACTATTCTTGGCTGGTAAGTCATTCTTGAAGTTTAACTCTTTCGATGAAGTGGTCCGATACGAAAAATTATGAACATGCCAGACTTTTGATGAGAAAACGACTCAAGTCTACACATCGGACCATTTATAAATTTGGCAAATGTTCGGCCTTAACCGGCTCTTCTATTTTATTCAAGTAGAAAGAGATGTGTTTCTTTGGCTCCTTTCTCCAACATTTCTACATTCCTTGGCTGCATGCAGGACATGGGGAGTCATATGTTTGACTGTGGCATTCCTATGGCAACTTTACACTTTCTGGCTTTTGACAAATCTCCATGAATCTACTGAAAATGGAATCCGTTACAGCAGATTTCTTCAACTCTTTAGTGCTACTTTTGGTACGACAAGAAACAATTTGAATTTTTTTTTTTAATAACAATTTGATTCATTTCCTTAAAACCATCAGAATCTATGACATTTTGCAGGAGAAAGAATGGGGAAAATCTTTGCCTTGTTCCCAATCCTGTACTTATCAGGTGGCACATGTGTCGCCTTAATCGTGGTCGGTGGCTCAACATCCAAACTCTTCTATCAGATTGTTTGTGGCGGCCACGGTTGCGTTGAAAAGCCACTAACCACCGTGGAGTGGTACCTGGTTTTTGCTAGCGCCGCTGTGCTCTTATCGCAGCTTCCAAACTTGAATTCGATTGCTGGTGTCTCTCTAATTGGAGCTGTAACAGCAATAGGATATTGTACAATGATGTGGATTGTGTCTGTTAAAGAGGGTAGACTTGATGGTGTGTCGTATGATCGAGTGAAACCAAATAGTGACACTCAATGGTTTTTTGGCGTTCTTAATGCTCTTGGAATTATTGCTTTTGCTTTCCGAGGGCACAATGTTACACTTGAAATCCAGGTATACCCAAATAAATGTGCGGTTTGTGCAATATATAATAGATTAATCATTTAAATGAAGCGATTACGAGAACATAATATGGAATTATTTTTCATAATTGGTTGCAGGCAACTATGCCTTCAAGTGAAAAGAAGCCATCTCGTGTGCCAATGTGGAGAGGGGTCCAAGCTGCATATTTGATTGTTGCGCTATGCTTATTTCCTCTTGCTATAGGAGGATATTGGGCATATGGGAACAAGGTAAATTTACTTGCATTAATCTTTTGACTTTTCCATATTGTCGAAGTCAAAGCTATTTGTCCGTTGTCATGTGCAATCTCATAATTGGAAGGAAAAATGGTACCACATGACTCGATATGTCAAAACAATATTTTAAAATAAAACCTGGTAATTTTCAACAAGTCATTCAACAAGAATATGTTTAGGGTGAATGAAGTCGGGACTCGCTTGCATTGTATAACGTTCCTAAAGTTAGCTTAAAATCTAAAGACAACCGCTCCTAGACAAGAGCTTAGATGTGAAACGAAAAATCACAAATGCTTTAATCAAGTTGATACACAATTTTTTATGTTACAGATACCCGAAAATGGAGGAATGTTGGCTGCAATTTATGCCTTCCACGGGCGCGACACTCCACAAAGTATCTTAGGACTAATTAGCTTATTTGTCATAATCAACGCTTTAAGCGCTTTCCAAATCTATGGCATGCCAATGTTCGACGACATGGAATCCAAATACACAAGCAGGATGAAGAAGCCGTGCCCTTGGTGGCTGAGGGTAATTTTTCGAGTCATGTTTGGATATGGGTGCTTTTTTGTTGCTATTGCAATTCCATTTCTCGGAAGCTTGGCTGGTTTGATCGGAGGGATCGCAGTGCCTGTGACATTTGCCTATCCATGCTTGATGTGGATTAAGATTAAGAAGCCAGAAAAACAGAGTCTGATGTGGTGGCTAAACTGGGGACTCGGGATTTGTGGTTCGTTGTTGAGCATATTATTGATCGCTGCTGGAATTTATGTTGTGATCGAAACTGGAATTGATGTCAGCTTTTTCAAACCTCATTGATTAGATACAATTTGATGTTTTTTCAGTTACATGTTATGAATGTATTTAAGATATGTGACACATATTGATTCTAGTACTTTATGTTACTTTGTTATGTTTCTTGAACCTTTTTTTTTAATTGGGATATATTTATGGGAACAATTCGAGAATACAATAAAAGTTTATTATTTCGAAACTTAATTTTAATTTTCAAAGTACATTTTATTTTTATTTTTTCAAGTTAACCTTTGCAGAATATAACCTTGAATTGGAAACTTCACGAAATACAACCCTGAATTCATAATTTTTTCACAATGCAACCGTCAATCTTTTACCAGCATAAAGCGGAAATGAAGCAAAAGAGAACACCATAATGCAGATGTTAACAGCAACAAAATAAATCGATAGAAATCCCATAAAATTAACAACAAAATAAACCTTAAAACTTAACACACAATAAAGAAAAGAAAAGAAATCAACAGTAAATGTAAACGAGCCGAACTTCATGGCTCGGACGTGGCTCAAGTAAAATTGGATTGACCTTTTTTTGGCCCAAGCTGAGCTGAGTCAATGGTCGGCTGAATAAATGAGGCTAGGCTCAGGCCTTTCCCAGTCGGGCTGGCTCGTTTTTTCATGAAATTCTATTTTTATTCTAATGTTTTTAAAGGCAATATAGCTGCCATAGATGCCTTTGGATATAAATGTAGCTGTACTGCAGCCTTTGAAGGCTTGAGCCTTTCTGAGCCGGGCTGGCTCGTTTTTTCATGAAATTCTATTTTTATTTTTTTAAAAGGCAATACAGCTGCCTTTGAATTTAAATGTAGCTGTAGCCTGTAGTGCTACCTTTTTAAAGGCAGCTATGGCTGCCGCCCGTGTTGGTGGGGCCAACGTGAGTTGGCTCAGGCTACACTCAAAAATGATGCTCGGTTCCAACGACCGGCGAGTCAAGTCGGCCGCTCGAACCGACAAGTTATAGAGAAAAATAGTTAAGTAATCTATCAACTAATCACTACATGGAATAGTAAATGTAAACGAGCCGAACTTCGTGGCTCGGACGTGGCTCAAGTAAAATTGGATTGAGCTTTTTTTGGCCCAAGCTGAGCTGCGTCAATGCTCGGCCGAAAAAATGAGACTAGGCTCAGGCCTTTCCCAGTCGGGCTGGCTCGTTTTTTCATGAAATTCTATTTTTATTCTTATGTTTTTAAAGGCAATATAGCTGCCATAGATGCCTTTGGATATAAATGTAGCTGTACTGCATCCTTTGAAGGCTTCAGCATTTCTGAGCCGGGCTGGCTCGTTTTTTCATGAAATTCTATTTTTATTTTTATTTTTTTTAAAGGCAATACAGCTGCCTTTGAATTTCAATGTAGCTGTAGTGCCACCTTTTTAAAGGCAGCTATGGCTGCCGCCCGTGTTGGTGGGGCCGCCGTCAGTTGGCTCGGGCTACACTAAAAAATGAGGCTCAGTTCCAACGACCAGCGAGTCAAGTCGGCTGCTCGAACCGACAAGTTATAGAGAAAAATAGCTAAATAATCTATCAACTAATCACTACATAGAAGTCTCTAGAATTGATGAGCTGGACTAAATTCTAACAAACTAACAACTGATAACAAACTAAAGACGAAACTAGAAAGAGTTAGAATAAGGAGTGCTGTAAGCTAATGCATGAAGAACGTGAGCTAGCTGAGGTATGAAGAACGTGAGTTGAGGAGATTTCTAACACCCCCCTCAAGATGGACCATCTTGATCTTGGAGAAAGGAACAAAGATGCTAGCAAAACGGTGGAAGAAAATCTGCAAACATCATATCACAAACTCTGCTCGGGGTCCCTTGATGGTATAATGCTTAAACCACCAATACCAGTGACCTCAGTTGACAGGTCATCACCAACTACCAGCACGCTGAGACTGAATATGTGGACAGTGCCTTTGTCACTTGACACTCCCAACCACCAAACAATTGAAGATAGGGCCATATCAAAGTGCCTCTTGTGCTGGCAGGTGCGAGAAGAAGCCATGCGCATTTTGAAGGTTGAAAATAATCTGCCATCCCTAATCATTTCATCTTGGTTTTGGATCAAGAGTTTCACACGCTCAATAAGGGTGGTAGTTGTTCCAGATATTGATGATGCCTTTACTTTCTAATCCTCAATTCTTCATAAGAACCTTTGATGAGATCAGTCAGAATATCTCCTGTGTGTAAAGAAAAATAGTGGAAGGAGTTCTGCTCAAAATAGATATCAGAATCTTGAACAATCAATGGCGGAATAGCTCATTGATGAAGACAAATGAGGACATCCTTCGTTCTTGCTGCAAATGCTGGAACGGAAGCCATGACTCTGATACCATATTGAGCAAATAAAAGGATAGAACCTGTTGTAAATGGCAGAGAATAATAAGAATAATTCATTCATTCAACTTGAGAAATTACAATGCATACTAGTTTATTTATAGAGAAAAATAGCTAACTAATCTATCTATTAATCACTACATGGAAGTCTCTAGAATTGAAGAGCTGGAACTAAATTCTAACAAACCAACAACTAATAACAAACTAAAGAAGAAACTAGAAGGATCTAGAATAAAGAGTGTTGTAAGCTAAGGCATGAAGAACGTGAGCTAGCTGAGGTATGAAGAACGTGAGTTGAGGAGAGATTCTAACAACATCCTTAATCAAAAGTAATGATATTCATTCTCCATGTTAGTAGTGGGGTTGAATGCATCCATTATATTACATTGTCACCTGTCAAACTTCTTCATCATACTCATTTGTCAAATTTCTTAATTCATCAACCCTCGGAATCCTCAACTATGTGGAGGAAAAAAATCAACATAATCAACAACCAAATTATTTTACAAACCCACATCACACATCAACTTATTTGTCTAAAAATCGAACTTAAATGGTAAAAATTCAACTTACTTATGCGAGATTCAACTTATTTATCTCTCTTAGTTTGTGTTTCAAACAAATGGGACCAAAAGTGAGTGTTTGGATTTGAAGAGACTGAAATACTCATTGCATTTGGTCCTTTTTTACCCTTTTAACACCTAAACTAAAGGACATAGAAGATAGGATATATTCCACAACGTTTAAGTTTTATGAAAAGTTCGCATCAAAATCAAAAGTTAAGGTATTTCACAAAACAGGCCAACATTAGGGGATATTATGCCAATTGCCCTATATATTATTAATCCAACCCATGTACTATAGTAGTATAACAGTTAACATAGAATAATTGAAAATTATAAACTTAAAATACTTCTTCTTTCAGCGAATAATATTGTTTGAACATGCTTTCCTGTATATCCTTAATTTACTGGAACTCTAATTCATTCATGCATATGAATTTAAACCCTACAAACAATTTTCGTTTCAAGTTTAAGAAACAAAATCTTTCAAATTGACAAGAGTTAGAATAGTTGTTTCCTAGTTGATTGCGTTTCCTAATACTTATAAAACAAATAAATCCAAAGACATCTATATCCATATTCCCCTAAAAGCATAATTAAACAGCAAAAATATGTCAGAATTGAATGATGATCTAGTTCTTGAGGTTATCTCATGGTTACCCCTAAAAGACGCAGTTCGATGCAAGATTCTGGACAAAAATTTCAACAGGTATATTTCAAATCAAAGCTTTGAGCACAAACACTTTGTTCGATCAAACCGAAAAATAAGTAGCCTGCTTTGTTGCTCGAATTCGGATCCTGTAACTTTTAGCCGACTCAAATTGGAGTACCCTTACCCTCTGAACAATTTGGAGATTAGGAACAAACCTCCTTTTTTTCTATTTGCCTCTTGTGGCGGAATTCTTCTTCTTTACTATAAACATAGAAGCTACTTTGTCATAAACCCTGTTAAAGGAGAATTCAACTTTGTGCAAGATGACAAACACGATGGTTGGGTTGTAGGTTCAGTTGGCTTGGCCGTTGATTCAAGTAGTCATTCATATAGAGTCAGATTAGTCTTCGCTCATGTAAGTAAACACAGAACCTGCTTGGAGAATCAGATGTGTAGATTCACAATATATAATTTTTGTTCAAGGCAGTGGGAAGAAAGCCATGAAGAGGATTTTGTTTGCAAATCAAGTAAGTTTGTGGCAAGAAATATTCAACCTGTTTACTTACATGATTCTCTACATTGGCTTAGAGAAGATGGCAGTATTCTTTCTTTCGACATCGAAAAACGCCGGGCTGGAATCTTTCAAGGACCTGTTAAGTTAATCTTTGGTACATGGTATGGTTATGACATATGGTTCGGAGGAGTTGAAGATTCACTCGTACTCGTTTGCCCTTCAAAATATGAAACTGTCATATATGTTTATGATCTTGTACGCACTAAGACATGGCAAATTTGGCACAGAATTGGAAACATAAGTAGAACAGGTAACAATGACTACAGGAATGTATTTCCTATACTATTTGATGGCCAAAGACTGATTCTTCTTCTAAGGAATAAAGCTGGAGAAGATGGACAATTTTTCATGCACAACATTTTAGTAAAATCCTGGGAGAAGATAGGGACTGTTTCAGCAGTGACAGAATTTGTTCCTTTCGTTTCAACATTGGCAAAGATCAACTCTGGCTATGTGCTAGATGAGTTAAGGAACAATTTCCTCTTAAATTAGAGGAAGCCTTCATGGGAAGTATGAGCCCATCTCCACCATGCATAATAAGGTAAAATCTCTTTACAAAATCAGAAGCCAATATAGTTTCTTAGAATTGGATAAGTATCTGTATATCCTATTGGTTGAATTATATTTATTAACTTCTACATTCAAAACCACACTAAATTTTCTATAGCAGTGTTGTCCCTAATATAATTAGGGTCCGTTTGGCTTTTGGAGACTTGAATCCCTATTTGGGCTCCAATAAAATAAGTTTTTTTTTTTTTGTGAAAATATGGTTTGGAATAGTTATTTTTTGAGAATATGGGTTAAAAAATAAAGAAAAATTATGAATTTACGTGTAACATTATTTTATAATAGAATGTGATTAAAAATAAATTTGAAAAAAAATGTAAACGTGCACGCCATCTGCCTGACTGCCTCGAAAATTTGAACTGCCTGTGAGACAGCTACAAATTGTAGCTGCCTCTCAGGCAGCTACAAAATGTAGCTACGTGTAGTTGCCTGCTGTGCAGGCAGTGAGGTTTTTAAAAAAAAAAATTTTAATTTTTTTTTTAACTTACTGGACACGGGCCAAAAGTGGCCTGTGACACGGGCCGGCCCGAGCCCGAGCTGCCGATTTTTTTTGCCACCACTAAAAGCATAACAAAACAGCAAAATATGTCAGAATTGAATGATGATCTAGTTCTTGAGGTTATCTCATGGTTACCACTAAAAGACGCAGTTCGATGCAAGATTCTGGACAAAAATTTCAACAGGTATATTTCAAATCAAAGCTTTGAGCACAAACACTTTGTTCGATCAAACCGAAAAATAAGTAGCCTGCTTTGTTGCTCGAATGCGGATCCTATAACTTTTAGCCGACTCCAATTGGAGCACCCTTACTCTCTGAACAATTTGGAGATTAGGAACAAACCTCCTTTTCTATTTGCCTCTTGCGGCGGAATTCTTCTTCTTTGCTATAAACATAGAAGCTACATTGTCATAAACCCTATTAAAGGAGAATTCAACTTTGTGCAAGAGGACAAACACGATGGTTGGGTTGTATGTTCAGTTGGCTTGGCCGTTGATTCAAGTAGTCATTCATATAGAGTCAGATTAGTCTTCGCTCATGTAAGTAAACACAGAATCTGCTTGGAAAATCAGATGTGTAGATTCACAATATATAATTTTTGTTCAAGCCAGTGGGAAGAAAGCCATGAAGAGGATTTTGTTTGCAAATCAAGTAAGTTTGGGGCCAGAAATATTCAACCTGTTTACTTGCATGATTCTCTACATTGGCTTAGAGAAGATGGCAGTATTCTTTCTTTCGACATCGAAAAACGCCGGGCTACCTGTTAAGTTAATCTTTGGTACATGGTATGGTTATGACATATGGTTCGGAGGAGTTGAAGATTCACTCGTACATGTTTGCCCTTCAAAATGTGAAACTGTCATATATGCTTATGATCTTGTACGCACTAAGACATGGCAAATTTGGCACGGAATTGGAAACATAAGTAGAACAGGTAATAATGACTACAGGAATGTATTTCCTATACTATTTGATGGCCAAACACTGATTCTTCTTCTAAGGAGTAAAGCTGGAGAAGATGGAGAATTTTTCATGTACAATATTTTAGCAAAATCCTGGGAGAAGACGGGGACTGTTTCAGCAGTGACAGAATTTGTTCCTTTCGTTTCAACATTGGCAAAGATCAACTATGGCTATGTGCTTGATGAATTAAGGAACAATTTCCTCTTAAATTAGAGGAAGCCTTCATGGGAAGTATGAGCCCATCCCCACCATGCATAATAAGGTAAAATCTCTTTACAAAATCAGAAGCCAATATAGTTTCTTAGAATTGGATAAGTATCTGTATATCCTATTGGTTGAATTATATTTATTAACTTCTACATTCAAAACCACACTAAATTTTCTATAGCAGTGTTGTCCCTAATATAATTAGGGTCCGTTTGGCTTTTGGAGACTTGAATCCCTATTTGGGCTCCAATAAAATAAGTTTTTTTTTTTTTGTGAAAATATGGTTTGGAATAGTTATTTTTTGAGAATATGGGTTAAAAAATAAAGAAAAATTATGAATTTACGTGTAACATTATTTTATAATAGAATGTGATTAAAAATAAATTTGAAAAAAAATGGACTTCAAACGGGGGCTTAGCATTGGAGCTTTTATCAGTAGAATTTAATTTTCCTTAAAGAATTGTTACCAAAAAGCTAATAATTGTTTGGTCGTCAACCAAAAGTGTTGTGAACACTAAAGGCATGTTTGAGACTTTTTTTTTTTTTTTTTTTTTTTTTTTTTTTTTTTTTT